GTAAGCCCACTTCTCCATCCATCATGCCCTAAATCGTTCGATATAAAACACCATTTGAGGTATTTACTGCTGGCAGGGAGTAAAATAAGTGTCCCACCTGAGTGTTGCTACCTGGGCTGGGAGGTTGTGTTGGAGACAGCCTCACACCCACGCCCACACCACCCCACGCCCACACCACCCCACGCCCACATCACCAACAACCACCTACAATATAAATTATTTTCCCACCAGTCCAACTCGAAAATGGGCGTGATAGACCCAGAATTACCGCACTTGAGATATTTGTTATTGTTGTTATACCTTTATTGACATCACTCGTGTGTTGTCTACATTTTTTTTTGTTCATGGAACTAGTACCACAGTATATTATTCAACACAAATCTACCTAAAGTTATCAACTACGATTGTGTGAATAGTTTTTTCAAGGACTTTCATGAAAACAAGACATGTCAAAATGTATTGTTGTGAATGTGACTCGTCACATGTGGGATGTGGAAGTATTATTATTTACTTCCAAAAAGGGCATTAAGTGATAAGCATTACATACATTGATAACGTGTATTAGTATTTTACATAAATTATTCAATATTTATTTTCATATAAATCCAAAACATTTAGAACTGTGTGACTTGATATTTCTGAGTTTTCATGTCCATTTTTTTTTTACTATAAAGAAAGAATATCTGTAAAGGATACATATAATCTACTGTAATAAGAAGTTGCTGTGAATACTGGATTTAATGTGAACTTCAGCTGCTATTTTATGATGGACTCATGAGTTTCTAAAGACTAATGTTTGTCATTCAGATTTTCAAGTTCCTTATATTGAGCTACCTTAAGTTACAGTATTTGTCATTTTTGGTAAATAATATATTTGCGTAATGTTTTTTGCTATTCAACTAATTTGGTCACTGATCATGGAAAAACACGTCTATACACAATTCAAAAGCAAACAGAATTATGATTGGACAAATTTAGATTTAGAAAGGATATAGGGAAGTACTGATTTGGCAGTAGTTATAGATGCATGGAACAAACTTCCAGGTAACTTTTTTTGAAGCAACAACTCTGGGTAACTTTAAATATAGGTTGGATGGGCATATGAGTGGGTGTGGTTAGGTGTGAATTGGACCTGCCTAGCTTTAGCTAATAGTCCTACTGCAGTGCTCCACTGTTATAGCTATTCTTATGCTAACCATGTTTATAAAAGGAAAGATATATGTAATATAAACAAACAAGACAAAATAATGTATATACAGATGGCACAGATTTGAGATAGTTAACATGACTCACGAAATCGTATTGACATGATTGCAAACGAAGTTTTGAGACTCTGACTGCAGGTTCAAACCCCACACGTGGTATGGTTTGAGATAGTTAAAGATTGATTATTGTGAAGGAAGTTGCAATTCTTAATGACAACTTTTTTTTTTACTTTAAAAACTGCCTATCTATAGTGTTTACAATTTGGAATCAAAATAAGTATTTCATCTTCACAACTGAGGGGAGTTCGCTTTAGGGGTATGATATGGTGGAGAGATTAGTCACCAGTGGAGGTTGCCTGGCCCTCCCTCTTCATTCCATGGTCTTGAGTACCATCTGGACCATTGAGAGGGCTCTGTCCTTGGGCGTGGTACCCCTCCCAGGGACTCGACGTGGCCCAGGCGTGCCTCTGTTTGGGCCGCTCCAGACTAATGGTTGCCTCCCCCACATGTAGGTGGGGTCTCTCGCCAGCTAGATATGGTGGAACATTTTCTTCTTTTTCTTCTTTTTAATAGGGCTGGCTATGATCTCCATATCCATTGTGAGATTCTGTCCCTCATCTGCACCTTTCTTAAGGCTTTGGAAGAAGTCACCAAACTGTAGCATCTCTCACCATTGTTCTCCAGACTTCTATTCCATCTCCTATAGGGGTTGTCACACCCCCTACTATCCCCTCATGATTGAGAACTTGTTAATCCCCAGGAGCTGGGAGGTAGGGCTCAATACAGCTCATATAGTGGCATCCCTTACCAACCCCAACAATAACAAGAAGGAAACTTGAATGGGTATAAAGAATATAGCTACATCAATTATTGTGCTACTGTTGATGGTTTTTTCATACATCTAAGCTTATTATGAAACATTTTAAAGTGAAACATATACGTTCACATGTTTTTAAAATAATAAATAATGGATAAACCAATAATATTTTGGGATATTAAATCATAATGTCTGAATATCAGTGATCTTGCCAACGTTCCCAAGGCATCTATTGTTAAGTAAAAGGACACAAGTGCAACTAATGTGACATTTATTGTGGCAACGTTTCGCTCTCCAGGAGCTTTATCAAGCCACTCATATGGCTTGATAAAGCTCCTGGAGAGCGAAACGTTGCCACAATAAATGTCACATTAGTTGCACTTGTGTCCTTTTACTTTACATATTGTCGGTAATTCTACCAACTTTATTACAGCATCTATTGTTCATGATAAATCTTTGAGGATTTCCATAGGGCAAAGAGTTTTGTATATAAATTTAATAAAATTATTGACAAGCAACTAACTAATATACCATAATTTAACCTAAAACTAAAATTATACTTGTTGGGTAATGCATGGTTATATTTTTGCAAAGTCACTAACCTTCCTGCCTGGATAACTCACTGACATCAGTGACTTGAAAATTCATTGACTTCTTGGGATGCCAGTTATCATAGGAGTTCTGGTTAGCAGAAAATATAAAGTCAGGGCAACTGTATAAGTGCTTGCAATAAAGCTATCAAGAAGTATGGATAACAGTATTCCTCATGCTTTTCTCCATCTTTATACGTATATCCGTGGTAAGACCTCAACTTTCTTGTGCCTTGAATATTCTATGGAGGAGGAGCCTATACATAGGAATCATCCCACACTCCTTAGAAACCACTGACATAACCCCACTTCAAAAAGGTGGCAAAAAACAAAAGAAAAACTATGAACTATAGACAGATTATGCAGAGCCAGGAATAAATAAAGGAGGTATAAATAATGTGCCTAGCATGGGCCAGTAGGCCTTCTGAAATGGTTGAATGTGAGTAGGACCTGCCTAGCATGGGCCAGGCCAGTAGGCCTGGTGAAGTACTCTAGTCTTGTCATATATTGGTTGGGTGTAAGACCTGCTTAGCATGAGCCATTAGGTCTAAGGTAGTGAGAAGAGTGGGATTTCATGGACCAGTAGGTATACAGCAATGCACCTTCATTCTTTTGCTCCTACCTACCCTTTTCATTATTTTGATTTTTTATATAATTTTTGGGGGATTGTATATGCTTATAAAACATGGGGTATAACTAGGGACATTTATAAACAAAAAATGCAGTTTATGATCAGTAATATCTGGTAGTTCTTGAAGACAGTCAGGGGGGGTCTGTTGGTTACCCCCTTATGAATGAAGGGAGGACAACTGGGCTATAGTGTTTTTGTTGGATTTTGTGCAGCTATCACTGACTGGGATGCAGGGGTATTGACCCCTGAAACACTCCAGGTAGATGTGTGGCAGGAAGTATCTGCTACCATCATCACCTACCACTGATATTGCTTGCCAGCATTGGTAAAAATACAGCAGTGTATTACCAGGCATTAGATGAGCTTTCTACTATATAAGTATGACCAAAATAACAACTCCTTATCTTGTGATTGTAATGTGAAAATGATCAAAATTACAACTTTGATATACCTTTGATGCATTCTGAGAGTTTTTTTTCTACTTTTGGAGTTTGACCATGGGCCAGGCTCATCTGTTACTTGTTTGGCCAACCAGGCTGTTGCTGGCTGACCCACTGACCCATATATTAATCACAGTCTCGTTGATCTGGCACCTGGTAAAGACACTTGTCTAATTTCCTTTTGAAGACTTGTACACATGTCCCAGCAGTGTTTCTGATATCTTCTGGTAAAATGTTGAATAGTCTTGGGCCATGGATGTTGATGAAGTGTTCCCTTATTGTGTCCACTGTGCCCCTGCTTTTCATTGGGTTTATTTTGCACTTTCTCCCCTATCTCTCACTCCAGTATGTTATGGTAATGTGCGGATTTGGGACAAAGCCCTCGTGTACTTTCCGTGTATACGTATAATATCACGTATCTCTTTATCTCTCCTCCACTCCAATGAGTACATATTTAAGCCATACTATGTTGATCGCACCTTTTCTCGTCCAGTGAGTAAAGTTAAGCAACATTGGGTTTGATTGGTACAGTACTTGGATGGGTGACCGCCTGGGAACACCAAATGCTGTTGGCATCATTGTTTCAAGGACTCCAGTGGAAATTAGTAATTTTGTCTGAGTATTTTGGGTTATCCTAAGTAATTTACACTATGATAATTGTACTTATGTGTACCTGTGCCTGAATAAACTTACTTAATTCCCAGTAATTTAAATGTTTTTTTGACAAAGTACTGTATCTCAGGTTATAGCATCCTGTTCTTGTTGGGTGTAAGGGTTACAAGGGCCCAAGAAACTCAAAGTCTACCTCACTGCTATAGATTAACTACCAGAATGCTATTGTAAATATAAACCATTTAATTCATGCTAATAAAGTAGAACCCCAGTATCCACAGATTTGGTTTCCGCGTTTACGGTTATCCACGGTTTACCGTGACCCAAAAATAACCCTTAATTTTGTTTAATAATGTCCTCAAAGTGCAAAAGTAGTGATAGCTGCAGTTCTTCAGATCCTAAGAGAAGCCATGAAGTGCTTCCCATTAGTGAAAAAGTGCTAATTCTCAACTTATTGTGTGTAATTTATCAATTAAACCTTTTCATATGTATGTATGCAAATGAAAAACGACATATATAGGATTCACAACTATCATCAGTTTTGGGTGTGCATGGTAGGCCTTGGAACATATCACCTGCGGATATGGGGGGACTACTGTATTGTAATTTTACTTAAATAAAATATCAGTACACTGCCATAATAATATAATGGAGTGAGAGAGATTGGAGGATGTGTAAAATAAACCCAGTGAAAAGCAAGGATGC